TTCCATCGCGACGTGGTACGGCGCGACCGACGGAGACACCTTGTTTAAATCTTCGTCTAAGGAACGCGTTTAATTTTCAACCCTCGTAAGGTGCGATAATAAAGTCAATTAAAAATTATTACGTAGCCTCTGTTTTATTTATCTTTTAATTCGATTCTATAATTATTTGAAACGAGGTCGAGTAGTAGAAATAAGCAAGTTATTTTAAAATTTCTGTTGCTTTAATGGATAAACAAGTTGCTCTGAATTATTAGCCTTTGGATAAAGGTTACTTTGTGTTTTCTCAGGTATACTTCATTTACTTTCTCTAGCGATGTTCCCCTTCCAATGTCTTGGATGCGCGATAGCAAAATCGTAGGTATATAGGGAGAAAAAAGCTCATTTTACTCTCGGCTCTTGTTCATTGAACATACTTTTTCATACAGTACCTACCAAAAGTTTTGTTCAATTATGAATAGTAGTGCCAGTCGAAAACAAGCATTAATGCTTTTAATATGTCTTCAAATATAAATAAACATCTCGTTGATATTTTCAGTAGTAAATGGTACCAATAACAGCACATTTGAGCAATGCAATTGTAGTGGATAAAATGGTCAATTTTTCCGTGCAGTACTGTACGGATTATACGCTCCTCACCTATTAAGAGTTTGGCCAAGAGTTGTCTCCTTCCTTTTCTGGCCTAGTGCTGTTCTTTTCTACTTTGCATCGGTCAAACTGAAGGTCACATCGCTGCAGAAATAAACGAACTATATATACTTATTATCTTGAGCCAAGGAGACAAAATCATTTCACTCCACTAGTGTTGAAAAAAGTCTAAAAATTGTACTAAACTGTGGTTGCAGCGAATTTGGAATAAGCTGATCAATGTTCTGTGACATTGACAATGTTCAAAGTCAAAGACATTTTACCTATGAAGAGATCAATAACGATGATGATTTTGATATTTAATGAAATACTTCAAACCAGCACCAATTTAATAGATTTGTCAATTTAGAGTAAATTCAGAAAAAAAATCCATAGTGAACACTTTGAATTTTTGCAGGGTTAATTCGCTATTGCATTGAAATTTCTTTTAGAACCGCAACTGTCATATAAATTTGTGGAAAACATAGCAAATTTGACTTAAGATAAAAATTAATTAAACACTTAATTGCTATAAAAAATCACAGTATCAATTAAAAATATATAAGTGAATGTTAAAAATAATAATATTTTTAATACTTTATAGTGGCAATCTCACCTGATGTGTCCGGTAGAGTTGGACACAAGTGTACAGGTGAGATTTTAGAGTGAAACTTTTATTACATCGCTTCAAATTTTTTTGGCCGTCTGTCGCACGTCGCATTACAGCCGGCCGCGGAGTAGGGGTAAAACTGAAAGGCGCTCGGCAGAGCAGCCAAACCCAATATGGCGGCGCCCATGGTTCGCATGAGGTATAATCGTGTAGCATTTATATTCTCACTCATTCGTGCAAGTGCATGACAATTACATTTATAGACTGTGAAGCTGAATGCGAAGATGAAATTATTGATAGAATAACTGAAGTTCAAAATGATTCAATGATTTAAATAAATATTGCTCTCAGTTTTTAACATGCGTCTATTATCTGAATGATTGTATTTATTATATACTCCCATATTCTCATACACAGGTTGAAATTAAAATTTATAGTTGGATATCTTGTCTACTATTGATTTCCCATTATTATGGCAATTTTTCAATCATTAAGATAAGATTAAGAACGCGATTTTAATATATAATTAAATATTTAATAATTTTCCGAAAATTTACAGTTGGATGCCTACAATCCGAAAAGTTTTACTTGCATCGTGATTTCATAAAACCACACAATTGTTTTTTATTTCTGTTTAAACAATAATAATATTAAATTGCAAGTGATTTTTTAGTTGTGTTGTACTGGGCTATAAGTTCACCTGTATCATAGATTATTTTTATGTTGTGGAAGTCGTAAATTGTCTGTATTTTCATAGCTACAAATACAGCTTACCAGTGCTATACAACAGGGACTATGTATTCCAATCGCCAAAGTTTAATTGTCAGATGTTTTCCGTCCTGTTTAGATTGCTGCTCCAAATGGTTCCCATGCTGAATTAAATCTCGCGAACTTTGCTGCAATTACGAAACTGTTGGCGAAACCGGGCCGTAAATGATCTAAAGAACGAAAATTAAATTTTATTTATTCGTCTAACTACAACCTGCTATAGCAGGATTTTCTTCTTTTGTTACTGTGTTGCGATACAAAATTTAATAATTTTGTAATTTTACCTAAGTTACTCTAAAATGGAGGCACGAATAATGTTGAAAGAAGAACTACTTTGCTGCGAATATTTTGAATATAATGTCCCTATACTACGAGCCCTGAGGCACTTGAATAGGACCTTAGTCTTATTAAATACTAGAGATGCACGGGATACTTAGTTATTTTTGCCGGATAGCTACATTTAATGGTTTATGTCTTCGTTTTGACGGGTTTTCTGTTAAATGCAACGTCCCAAATCACATTATGTCCCCGTTCAAAAAGTCGTTTAAAAGTCAAGCCAATGAAATTCCAATTCTTGTTTGGCGGATTTTCAATGAAAGGGTTGAGTTGAAACCGTTGAAAGGAACCTATAATGTTTAAAAACACTAAAAGGGTGCAAGGTGACAAAATTATACTAAGTTATTATTAATAAAAACCCGATATACCAACAAATGATAGAAAGTGTAAAGCTCTTGTTACACGGTCTTTACATAGAGCGTGGAACGTGAATCGATGTCCCACCCGCCCGCCGCCGCCTTGAAAAGGAATCAGTGAAACCGTTAGGATGCGCCTGTCCGCTCCAGGCCGCACCGAACCCGTTACACGGAGCGTAGATTGGTAATTCACGTGCTGTGTTACAGGAGCATAAACTCCACGTTACATAGCGCCTGTAGCGTGGATCGGCGCTCTACCCGCCCGTCGTCGCCGTGAATAGAATTCAAAGAAACCACTAGTAGGCGCTAATCCAATTCAGGCTGCGCCGAACCCATTACACGGAGCGTGGATTAGTAATTCACGTGCTGTGTTACAGGAGCATAAACTTCACGTTACACAGCGCGTGAAGCATGGATCGCCGTCGCACCCGCCGCAGCCGTGAAAAGAATCCACACAAACTGGTAGGACGCGCCTATCCGCTCCAGGCCGCGCCGAACCAGTTACGCGGAGCGTGGATTGGTAATTCACGTACAGTGTAAATGGAGTTGAAAACCCATGTTAAACGGCGCGTGGATCGGCGCTCTACTCGCCCGTCGTCGCCGTAAATAGAATTTAAAGAAACCACTAGTAGGCGCTAATCCAATTCAGGCTGCGCCGAACCCGTTACACGGAGCGTGGATTAGTAATTCACGTGCTGTGTTACAGGAGCATAAACTCCACGTTACACAGCGCGTGCAGCATGGATCGGCGTCGCACCCGCCGCAGCCGTGAAAAGAATCCACACAAACTGCTAGGACGCGCCTATCCGCTCCAGGCCACGCCGAACCTGTTACACGGAGCGTGGACTGGCAATTCACGCTTCGTAAAACACGAGTTTAAATTTCATGTTACACGGCGCGTGGAGCGTGGATCGACGTTCCACGCGCTCGTCGCATCCGTGAAAGAATTCAAATAAACCGATAGGACGCGCTTGTTCTCTTCGGGCCGCGCCGAACCTGTTACACGGAGCGTGGACTGGCAATTCACGCTTCGTATAACACGAGTTTAAAGTTCATGTTACACGGCGCGTGGGGCGTCGATCAACGTTCCACGCGCTCGTGGCATCCGTGAAAAGAATTCAAATAAACCGATAGGACGCGCCTGTTCGCTTCGGGCCGCGCTGAATCTGTTACACGGAACGTGGACTGACAATTCACGCTCCGTAGAACACGAGCTTAATGTTCATGTTACACGGCGCGTAGGGCGTGGATCGACGTTCCACGCGCTCGTCGCATCCGTGAAAGAATTTAAATAAACCGATAAGACGCGCCTGTTCGCTTCGGGCCGGGCCGAACCTGTTACACTGAGCGTGGATTGGCAATTTACGCGCTGTGTAACAGGATCTGAAAGGTCATGTTACACAGCGCGTAGAGCGTGGCGTTTAACGCCCCCTACGCCGCCGTGAAACGAATTCAAAGAAACCGCTAGGACGCGCCTATCCGCTCCAGGCTGCGCCTAACTCGTTACGTGGAGCGTGGATTGTCAAGTAACGCGCTGTGTAAAATGAGCTTAACATGGCCTTAACAGTTCGACTATAGTAATGTGTTCTTGTTCGCGAGAAAAAGTAAGCACAAGAATTATATTGAGATAACTAATAAGGACATACGTCCTACCCCAATACAATCTTAATTACCAATTTTCGTCACGCAGGTGTTTTGTTATAATTATGAAATTATTATTACTGGTGTTTGTTTTTCCCCTTTTTTGTGGTAGAATTACCCGGCACTGCTGGGTACACGGTGTCATTATCCGGTACCCGGTCGGATCCACCAGGTATTGGATCTAAATCTCCATTGAATTAATTAATTAATTTGAATATAGGTATGTGGTACAGTTCCATCCTTTCATTGCACGTTCTATTAGTCCACTAATTTCAGAAAGTTGTGCCATCAGAGCAGATAACAGCACAAATTTCCTTTCCGAACATACGTTATAATGTTTAGTGAATATCAAATTTGTTAGGATGTGATTACCATACTATATGTCGCATAAAAGCTGTTTTAGTTTTAAGAACGAATGAACTTTTTATGAACAGTATGAAAGGATTACTATTATATATCATAATCGATGTTTGGTGACATCAATTAATCTGAAACCAACATGTGTAGGCCGAGGGAACTTTTGACAGTCAGTATAGGTAACTTTTTACATTATGTAACGTTGTATCAGAATAATAAAAGTAGTTAAATTTATGACAGTTTAATGACTAAATTGGATTATTGTTGTTATTTTTATTATAAATGTAATTATTTATTTCTTCTTTCAGTGTTGTGAGGTCACAGAACGCAGTTTGATCCCAAAAGTAGGTGCATTTAATTGTGACAGGTAAGAAAATCTAATATAAACTTACGTTTATTGCATTTCAATTTGTATTATAAAAATTATAAAAAACAGTTGCAAAGAAATTTAAAAATTAGCAAAGGATAGTTTCTTGCATTTATAAAAATTACTGCATCTAAGTCATACAAGAACAAGAAAAGAAGTACGTTCGACGATTTAAGAAAAAACTAAC